AGGGACAGAGTTCAGCATGATGATGCCAGAGATGTGACCATCGGTGAGGATGGGGTGTTGAGGATGCAGGGCCGGATTTGTGTACCCAATGTGGATGGGCTTCGAGAGTTGATTCTGGAGGAGGCCCATAGCTCGCGGTATTCTATTCATCCGGGTGCTGCGAAAATGTATCAGGATTTGAGGCAGCACTATTGGTGAAGAAGAATGAAGAAGGATATTGTGGGATTTGTAGCTCGGTGTCTCAATTGTCAGCAGGTGAAATATGAGCATCAGAGACCGGGTGGCTTGCTTCAGCAGATGGTTATTCCTGAGCGGAAGTGGGAGAGGATCACTATGGACTTTGTTGTTGGACTCCCACGGACTTTGAAGAAGTTCGATGCTATTTGGGTGATTGTGGATCGGCTGACCAAGTCCGCGCACTTCATTCCTGTGTGTACTACCTATTCTTCAGAGCGGTTGGCAGGGATTTATATCTGGGAGATTGTTCGTTTGCATGGTGTTCCGGTTTCTATCATTTCAGATAGAGGTACTCAATTTACTTCGAAGTTTTGGAAAGTCGTGCAGAGAGAGTTGGGTACTCAGGTGGAGTTGAGCACAGCTTTTCATCCTCAGACGGACGGCCAGTCCGAGGGTACTATTCAGATATTGAAGGACATGTTGTGTGCTTGTGTCATTGATTTCGGAGGTTCATGGGATGAGTTTCTACCGCTTGCAGAGTTTGCTTATAACAACAGTTATCGGTTGAGTATTCAGATGGCTCCATATGAGGCTTTGTATGGGAGGCGGTGTAAATCTCCAGTTGGTTGGTTCGAGCCCGGCAAGGCTAGGCTGTTGGGGACTGATTTGGTTCAGGATGCTTTGGAGAAAGTGAAGGTGATTCAGGAGAGGCTTCGTACAGCGCAGTCGAGGCAAAAGAGTTATGCTAATAGGAAGGTTCGAGATGTGTCCTACATGGTTGATGAGAAGGTTCTGTTGAAGGTTTTACCCATGAAGGGTATTATGAGATTTGCGAAGAAAGGGAAATTGAGTCCTCGGTTCATTGGGCCTTTTGAGGTGCTTCGGAGGATTGGGGAGGTGGCTTATGAGCTTGCTTTGCCACCCAGCTTGTCGAGTGTGCATCCAGTATTTCATGTTTCTATGCTCCGGAAGTATATTGGGGATCCGTCTCATGTTTTGGACTTCAGCATGGTTCAGTTGGATGATGATTTGACCTTTGATGTGGAGCCAGTAGCTATTTTGGGTCGTCAGGTTCGGAAGTTGAGATCTAAGGATATAGCTTCAGTGAAAGTGCAGTGGAGAGTTCGGCCGGTGGAGGAGGCTACCTTGGAGACCGAGAGGGAGATGCGGAGCAGATATCCTCACCTATTTAAGGCTTCAGGTATGTTTCTTGACTCGTTCGAGGACGAACGTTTGTTTAAGTTGGGGAGGATGTGACGATCCGGCCAGTCGTCTCATGAGTTACCGCTCCGTTTCCCCCATTTTTGCTTCTTTATGCTTCGTTATCTGTGTTTTGTGGTATCGGGTTGGTCGGATTGAGTTCGGAAGGAGTTTGGGGAAGTTTGAGACACTTAGTCTCTTTTAAGAAAGTTTAAGTTGGAAAAAGTCAACCGGATGTTGACTTATGTGTTAGAGGGCTCGGATGTGAGTTCCGATGGTTCGGTTAGCTTCGGGAGGTGATTTATGGCTTAGGAGTGAGATCGGAATGGGTTTTGGAGGTGCGGAGTAGAATTAGGCTTGAATTGGCAAAGTTGATATTTTGGCAATTTTCGGTTGATAGGTGAGATTTTGATATAAGGGTCGGAACGGAATTCCGAGAGTTGCAGTAGCTTCGTTGTGTCATTTGGGATGTGTGTGCAAAATTTCAGGTCATTTGGACACGGTTTGGTTGGGTTTTTGATCAAAAGCGTATTTCGGAAGATTTTTAGAAACTTAGGCTTGAATTCGATGTGTTTTGGGTAATTTGATGTTGTTTGAGGTGTTTCGATGATTGGAGCAAGTTTTAATGAGGTTTTAGGATGTGTTGGTGCCTTTGGTTGAGGTCCCGGGGGCCTCGGGTGAGTTTCGAGTGGTCATTCGGACCATTTTTGGAGTTTGAAAGTTGCAGATTTTGTTCCAGCAGTTGCAGGTGTTTTGGCCTTCGCGTTCGCGAAGGGGAGCTCGCGTTCGCGAAGGGCCGGGTTTTTGTAAGCTATGCATTCGCGAGGGTCTAGGACGCGTTCACGAAAGCTTGTGAAGGAATCCCATCACGTTCGCGAGTGGGTATACGCGATCGCGAAGAAGATGTGAGTCAGATGGATCCAAGGGAATTTATTCATCGCGTTCGCGAGAAGGTGTTCGCGATCGCGAAGGTGTAGGTGGAAGGTGCATCGCGTTCGCGTCTGGCATGTCGCATTCGCGTAAGGAAAATTTTTGGTCAACGCGAATTTGAGAATCGCGATCGCGAGGTATTGACCGCGATCGCGAAGAAGGGGGAGTCAGACCTGGGCAGAATGTTTTAAGTCATTTCATCCGCAATTTTGGGGCTCATTTCCTCCATAGTTGATCATTTTGAGAGCTTTTTGAAGGAGATTAAAGAGGGATTCAAGGAGAAATGTTTGGAGGTAAGAATTTCGGACCTAAAACTCGATTCTATTGTGAAATCTACCTAGAAAATCATGGAACTTAAGCTAAAAATGGAAGAACTAGGGCTTGGAATTTTGGACTTTTGAATTGGGATTTGAAGGACCATTTGGGGTCGAATTTGAGAATTTTTGATATGTATGAACTCATGGGGAAATAAGGAATCTAATGATGTGAAAATTTCTGAGTTTCAAGAAGTGGGCCCGAGGCTCGGGTTTTGCTAATTTCGGGATTTTGGTATTTTTCGATTGTTTTCGCTTGGGCTTTGTTCCCTTAGCATATTGTGACATATTCTTTCTGATTTTGGATAGATTCGACGCGCGTGGAAGCCGATTCGAGGGGCAAGGGCGTCGCGAGCTAGAGTTTTAGCCGGTTCGAGGTGAGTAATGATTGTAAATGATGTCCTGAGAGTTTGAAACACCGGATTGCACATGGTAGTGCTATATTGAGGTGAGACACAAGCTTGATGACGAGCGTGGGGTCGTGCACTATTGGGGATTGTGACTTGGTCTGTCCCGATTGATGATTTTACCGTGTATTTGACCGAAACTTAGTTGTTATCATCATGGTTTGGGCTGATTGCCATATTTGGGCTTCGTGCCAACTGTTTGAACCCTTCGGGGATTTTTATCACTATTTCCTCACTGTTTTGACTTATTACTTGAACTCAGTCATGCTGTTTTTCACTGTTTTACTATTCAGCCATTTTTACTCAGTTTTGAGACTTAAATGATATTTTAAATGATATTTTGGGCTGAGAAATACTGTTTTACTAACGCCCGAGGGGCTTGTGATAGTTTTCGGACTGAGTACGGCCGAGGGCCAGATGTGAGGATACACTGATACTGATATGAGGCCGAGGGCCTGAGATATATATATACGCCACGAGGTGGCTTGATTGATATGAGGCCGAGGACCTAGATTTGATGCCACGAGATGGCTTGATATTGCGCTTGGGCCGTAAGGGGCCCCTCCCGGTGTCTGTACATCCCTAGTGAGCGCTGGTACCCATTGTGATGTGAGATTGAGCCCGAGGGGCTGGTATTGTTCTGAGATTGAGCCCGAGGGGCTGGTACTGTTCTGAGTTGTTGCCCGAGGGGCGGATTTGTTGATACTGTGCCCGAGGGGCAAACTTCTATTTGTTATTTACATGTCAATTACTTGTTTTACTTGTTGAAGAAGGGATTTTACTTGATACTTCACTGATTTACTGTTTTTAAGTGATTTTACTGCTTCGCTATAGAATGCCTTGTGTTTTACGTGTTTTCTTACTTTCAGTCATTATTTATATTTATTACTGACTGGGTCGGAGTACTCACATTACTCCCTTCACCGTGTGTGCAGATTCAGGCGTAGCAGGTCTCGCCCCCAAGTGCTGACTCATTCCAACTTCAGGCGGATCTTCGAGGAGTCTTTAGGTAGCTGCTGGCGTTCGCAACCTGGAGCTCCTCTCTATCTATTTCTTTTACGTTCTATTTCAGTATTTGAGACTTTGTAGTTACATTTGAGGATTTAGTATCTTAGACGCTCGTGACTTGTGATACCCCGGTTAGGGCTGTATTGGGATGGATTTCCACTTTGTTATCTCTATTTTCGCTAAATATTGCTATTAAATCATGTTTAAACTATCTTTATGCTATTTAACTGCTTAAAAGGACGAATTGTGTTAGATTGGTTGGCCTTGTCTTCACGAGAGGCGCCATCACGACCGGGTTCGGGGTTAGGGTCGTGAAAAATATTCTCATTCACGAGATCTATAATTTTTTGGATCCAATAATCAGACTCCTGATTTACTTCGTTGATGTAATTTTTTATTTTCTTCTTCCTTCTGATCAGCCTTTATGTCGGCTTAAATTATCTCCCGAACTATGGTTCATGGTATTAGTTATTATGTTTAGCCTTTCATGGGTGTTATGGAAAATCCATGATATAATCCTGCATTTATGACCTGGGCTCGATTCTTTCTTTTAACATATACCGAAACCTTCTATGGCTGTATATGCTACATGTATAAAACTCCGAACCCTTAAGTGCGTTCATAACGTAGCCAATTTTGGATCATTGATCGAATAATTTCTTTCGTTCCATCTTCGCTTTCTTTCAACGTTAGCTATTACTTTTTCTGATCTTTCTGCCCCATTGTTGCGTCCATACTTAGCTTATCTTAGCTCTCACGCATGCCGGAATTTTCGTACAACTCATATGATTTTCGAATATTACTTTTGATTTTACTTCCCGTCCACTAGCCACGGTAGGTTCCTCTTTCTTATGGAGGACATACAATGTTGTTGTGAAACTGTTGTTACAAGACCATTTCCTCTTTAGGTCATTGTGCTTAGGTTGAAGCCTCCTTCTTCATTTCCTCACCTAGTCTAATATTGTAGTACTTAGGGAGAACCCTTGCTCTTAAATCTTCGAATAATGAAGTTTGTTTAGTACAATCGTGTCACTGAGAAAAGGAATTATATATGGTTTCGTGTATATGCATACAACAACCTCGAATTAGAGTACTTTTTAATTATATTCTGCTTCAAGTATGCTTCTTCTCCATTGCAATCCTGCCACTGCATGCCATAAGATAGATGATAGATTAGCAAAAGGCGCATTTTGAGGGGCATGTTTGTGTATGCCAATGCTATAGTGATCATGCCGTGAAGTTTGAACTCTGTGTTATCCTATATCACTCCTATATGACCAATAAAATCTTGAAATTTAGAGATTGAACTGGGAAGTTTTCAAAAAAGGTAGGAAGATCAATAATATGACCTAAGAAATGCCTGTGGAAACATTCTCGAGAACAGTCGGCCTTTTGCTTTGATAAGCAGAGCATATATTCCGTAACAGGGGATGTGGACCACAGCCAATCCAAGATACCTGAAACCAACTTTTCCATTTAGGATATCTAAATTGTAAAGGAATCAAGAATGTCAACAGAAAAGGCATGTCTTTAGTCGTTACCACAAAGGTGCCCATGGAGTGTTAAGTTCCAAGAAAGGATACGGCCACCTGCGCGACAAGGAACTTCAATTAACCACAGAAAAGAATGCTTTTTTACATATGAATGTGCGTATGGTGGTACATGTTTATTTACCAATTTAAGCAGCACGCGTGTAGAGTCCACTGGAAAACAATATAACAACAGCTCCACAGCACAAAATATGTGATACCAAACCATGTAAATTGCTGAAACACAAAACAGCCTTCTCCTTTTAGATTTTACAGGATATCGACAACTTATAGCAAGCCCTGAAGGGTCTCCAAAAAGCTTGTTGAGGTTGGAGATGGGCATATAAGAAACTGTTGCACTTACAAGATTGTTCAGGACTGAATCAAGAAGAAGAAAAATAGCATTTACAGAGTGCATGCATCCAATTAGCTGCCATGTCAACAAAAGTTAACAGTTAGAGAAGTTTTTGAGTAAAATAAGCTGCAATTCGAAAATGATTCGGACCACTTCCATTAAAAAAATGTCTCTATACAAGAAGCTAAGAAAACAAAAAGAATAACGCCTTCGACGTTTCAACTATGTGAATTCTTTCAACGACTAGGAAAACATCTCAATTTACATCAAAGATTATTGAACTTTAGAGTCTTCTGATAGAGCCATATGTGCAAGTTTAACAATGGAGCTCCATTTTTGCTGAAAGCGTGCAATCTTATTTTGTAGTCACAAGAATATTTGCTGATTTCAGTATTAACTACAATAGCAAGTTGAATTCCCTTTGCTTGACTTTGTAAAATTACATATTTGTGCTCAGAAAGAAATGCATTCTTAGTCCACCATCATGGTCCCTCTCTCTCTTCACCGTTTAAGAGCAATAAGCAACACTTGCATGGATGATCAGAAATTCCAAAGGGAAATCACAAGCTTCTCAGATTTTTCGAATGGTGTATGCTGAATGTGTGCATAGTATTTGGATAGAAAGAAACAAGAGAGTCTTTGAGAAATCAAGTAGAGGATGGGAAAGTATTGCATATATTTGCAATGTTAGAGCCTCACCTAGAATAAAAATTGTACTGCAAAAATATATGTTCTAGCTAGATAGCGTGGTTCCTGATTTGGTTTTGTTTGTTTCTTAGTTTCTTTGGATAGCTAGCTGTGTTGGCTAAGCTATGGAATTGTATTGCTACTTTGGTAATTAATAAAATTTGCAGTTACCAAAAAAAGAGTCATTGACCTAATGTTGCTCCATTTTTCTGTTATCTTAAAAGGAAAATGCAACTTGTTACCTCATAAAGGGCAGGCATTTCGGATCATCTATTTACTTTGAGTTAGAGCTGTATTTTGAACGATACATTTGAGGTTGTAGCTTGAGTTTTGCACAGTCTAATAATGTTATGAGAACAATGGAATTTCATCTTTATAATGTTGTTTCAGGAAATAAATAGAAACTTGTAACTATGGAGTTAAATCATTAAAAAGCTGGTATTCATGCTATTTTTCCAACAATTGTGTAAATTCTTAGATGGTTAGGAGTAAACTTGCAATTAGTTAGTAACTATGCTCAGTGTTCTAAGATGACAACAAATATGTTCCTCAAGGATGTAAGGGAACAAAAGCATTGTGGTTATCTAAAGTTCCAAATTTTCTCATGCAAATACCATAATCATAGCTGAGTTCACCTGTCCTCTCCCTGTTTCTCTCCCCTCTTTCCAACCTGTCTCCCCTGGTTTAATGGTTGGCATGGTCTTCATGAATTAGAAAGGACTATCAATACGCCCTATTTGCGTTTTCTATGCATGGTAGCTTTGTGTAATAGTTGACGATATCACTTTCCTTTGAGAAATAACCATGATTTGGTGCATAATCTAGATGGAACACGTGAAATGACTGATACTTTGATCATATAAACTAATATTGTGAATTTTTGACATGGAAAAATGCGTACTCTTGATAGAAACTTGACTAAAAGATTTTCTTTAGATGGTTAGAGGAAGAGTAACATTCTAAAGGGAATGCAGTGAGAGCTAAACATGATGCATATAATGCTGCAGCATTTCAAATAAAGATGACTCACCAGGGTGAGCTTAAAGTTCTCGCCCGTCATAAATGGAAGCAAAAGACACCAAAAGACAATATCTGTCAGCATAACAGCACCTGCACTAGTCTATGAAAAGAAAAAAAAACTTGTGTCAAATTTCTAACAGTAAACTCAGGTGAGTTGACCAATTTAAAAACAGCTTTTAGCTATTTGGATTATCGTGACAGATTAGCTTATAGATCAGAGATAATATAGGAAGTACTATATTATTTTATTTCAATTGTTGCTGAATTAAGCAGTTGTTATTGCAATTAGGCTAACAAAGTTGTTTCAGGCCATCCACCAAACAATATTCACAAGAAAAATCCTGCCTTGCTAAACTTAGTAATTCATACAAGTTTCATTGCAGCTATCCCACACTTTCAATAACTGTATGCTCCCCAGGACCTTGGGAATTTGTGAAAACATATAAATTTGATAGTAGTTTCTAATGCTAACCTGATAAATAATTTGCATAAAGTTTTCCCAAAATCCAAGTCGTTGCTCAGAGGATGCCCCATTGCTGCTGTTCTCTTCAGCCGCAGTTTTAAGAAATTTCTCTATCTCCCCGCGCCGGGAGAGGGGATTTCTTGTATACAACCAGCATCCCCGCGCCGATATAATGGTTCCCAGCTGCAATGCAAGCACATATTATGGTCAGCTATATATCAACCGCAAAACATATTAACTCTATAAGTATTCACTAAATAATGAGCTGCAAGAAATTGGAGAAATTATTATGTGTCCGTACAGCAAAATAGACCCCAACCAAAGCAAACGTCCACCTGGAAATTAAGCAATTAATTAGAATATCAGATCAGTTAAATTCTATTGAATTGCAGAATATAGTCTGAATTATGAATAAATACACAAGTATATGTAGAGAATTAGGAAGAAGCAGGTGATTAAGTACTGTGTGTAGAAGAAGAAGACGAAGAAGCCAAAGTTGGAAACAGTCTGATAAAGCAAGAAAGCCATGGAAACAAAGGCGAAAGCTCTGAAGAAGAGAAGCCAAAGAGGATGGAGATTTCGCCAACATGGGACCCACAGATCAGTGGACTTGGTAGGATACTCTGTGTCCTTTCGCTGCCTATTGATGAGCCTCAAAGCTACAGTAGTAGGGATGATGAAGATTAGAGCACACACGGCAACTTGCCATTGAAGCCAGTACTCTAAGCCCAAGCTTTCTTTGGCCGACATCACTGTTATCTTCTTTGGAGCAGATGAATTAGTTGATGAAAAAGAAAGAATATGAGAGGGAGCAGTAGCAGCAGGTTACTAGCTGAGCTACTGGATTGAATTTTCTGCCATGGAATTGGAGATAGGAGGAGGAGTTTCCATCTTATTACTAAGTACTTTGGAAATTTCAGTTTGGTACAGGCATACGACAACCGAAAAGTAAAAAACGGTGGTTGGTAGTTGTCATTTCTGAATTCTGAATTCTGAATTCAGCCTTTTCCTTTTCTTTTTTTCCTTTGTTTTTCAAGAGGGGAAAAAAGGGGGTGATGTAGGGCCAACAACGTTTGTTTAAATTTTTTAAAATTTAAAATAGAGACATACAAAGGTAGCCCGCTGCATTAAGTTCCCGTTAAGCGCGGAGTCCGGGAAAGGGCAGGATCACAAGGGTCGATTGTATGCAGTCTTACCCTACATTTCAGTAAAATATTGTTTCTAGGGGTGTAAATGTTAGAATATACTATAAGCCATACGCGTCCTGCCGGCCTTCAGAATCTGCAGCAATGTTCTGCCGGTCCTACCGCGGTTATGCCAGGATCGCGGCCAGAGTGGCCTTCAGAATCTGCAGCAGTGTTCTGAAGGCCAATTTTTATTTACTTGTTTAAATTTCATAAAGTTTCCTTTTAAATATAATAGATCATGTATTGGTTTGTGTGTCCATTGCTTACATAGTAGATGATTTAGTGTATAGAGTTTAGCTTATACACGGAAGATTAAATCATCGGTTCTTGTAAGACATAAAAGTTAATGTTCACAATCTAATGTTGGAATTGGACAAATCATCGAAATGGTTGTAGTACAAGATTAAATGTAATTTATCTTGATTATGGGAATAGGTCTAATTCCAACTTCTTGTGCTAATACACTTTGTATGTATTGAACGGATCAAGTAGAGATAAGTATTTTATACTGACTTTATAAAATAATTTCTCTAGTCCATTTAATGTACTTATACTCTTAATCCTGATATAATTATTATTAGATGTGTATGTCACTTGTTGTTTTGATTTATTAAAAGGCGAGATTCTTTCGTGAGTCAATAAGCCTGGTAAATTGGATAACAATGATATACATTGGCGAAGTAATAATTAGTTGATGGAATTCATGTCTCGGTTTTGAGATTGATGATACTCCTTTATGAAAGCTTATAAGTTTTCATGTGTAAACCCGGCCGGTGGATTTTGTATCTGACACATGAAATAAGTTAAGTGTAAGTCTAAAGGAAGTAATCAATAAATTAAATAGTCAGTAATTTAATTTTATTGATTAGTATCTGAATTTTAACATGGGGAGTTAAATAAGGTTTTATGGAAGAATTTCGAAATTGAACTAAGGAGTGCAATTACGAATTTTTAGTGGAATAATTCGTAATTTATTATGGTAGAAATTAATTTCAAATTTCAAAATTAATTCCATAATAGGAAGCCTTGTTAATTAAATTATGCGGTCCCTACTGTGCCTGAATAATAGGAAATAAAGGAAACCTTTCCTTGGTGGAAGAAGAAAACCTAACAGGTTTTGGAAAAGTGTTTTTGACCTAAAAAAAATGCAGCTATATATATATGGTATTTAGCTGGTCGTTTTTGACACAGAGAAAAAAAATACACGTTTTTCTTCCTTGAATTTCGCCCACCCGAAGTTCTCTATTTTCCAGTTTTTATTTGGGTAACACAGTAGAAGACTGTGGAAGGTTGCTGAGGTCTTGCAATGCTGGAACTGGAGAAGGATATCGATTTGCTTTGTTCACGCTTCAAGAGGTAACTCGTACAATCTCCGTATGTGCTAATTGTTTAGATTACACGTAATTATGATGCTATGTTTGCTTCCGCTGCGCAATATGATCCAACAATTGGTATCAGAGCCTACTCACGTCTAATTAAATAATTAGGATAAACCATAAGGATTAATATCATGTTCTATATGCAAGTTTTGAATTACATACGAAGTTTGTTTTTTATGAAAACCTGCACTGTTTCGGCGTGATTATCTGTTATGGGTTGTATTGATTATTCTGAAAACTTGAAATATTCTTTTAATATTGGTGATGTTAAGTTAGAATAATCTGAAAATTGAATTTAATCATGAAAAACGTAAAAACAGTTTTAGCCGAATTAGGGCAGAAAATCGGAGGTCAACTAGTTGACGGACTCCGATTGACCTGAAACTTGGCAGGTCCATGCGAAACGGCCTAGTGAGCAATACACATCAGCTTCGCTCATGACGTAAGCCGTTTTTGGGGCTTTCGGGGTCGTTTAAATGGTGTTTTTGCTGTTTTTTTAAAAATTTTGATTTTTTTTTTTGTTGTTTTTAATTCCAGTAATCGTGGGGATCAATTCCCATGGTCTCCGGGGTTAAAAATTAGTGATCTAATATTTTTACACGTTGACGTAGGTCTTCTTCCATATCGGATAAAAACATTATGAATAATCACTAGATTATACTAGTCATTGATTACTTGTATTTACTCTCCATCTGAGTATGCATGTTGGTTCAATGTGACTAATATATGTTGAATGTTGATATTCACTTGGCTTAAATTAACAGTTTACTCTCCATCTGAGTATGACCTGTTTAAGTTTATGGGGTGGATAATCTGTCATTATATATGTATATTGCAAGAATAACTTCTTTCCCATCGAAATTTGTTGTTCAAGGTGCATAGATTGTATGTATATAGTGTTTTTTGAATTTTAATATTCAATAATACAAACTGATTTGATCTATTTAAATATTAATGTCTCCCAGATTGACAATGACTGTTTTCAATCCCCTTACTGCCATTCTTACTCAAACCAAACTTGAGGGTCCGAATTATGTTGATTAGAAACGAAATTTGGATATTGTTCTACTTGCTGAAGAGTACAAATTTGTGCTCGATGAGGTGTGTCCAGAAAAACCTGGAGATGATGCCACAGATGATGAACAAAAGGCTGATGAGATGGCGCGGTGTTACATTTTGGCATCCATGTCAAATGTTCTGCAACATCAGCATCAGTCGATGGAGTCTGCTTATGACATTCTGGAAAATCTCAAAGAAAAGTTTGGAGATCAGAATCGTGCGGCTAAGCAGACTGCCATGAAAGCCCTTCTGAATACCAAAATGGTTGAAGGTTCATCGGTCAGGGACCATGTTCTGAAGATGATGAGTCTTCTGAATGAACTGGAGGTCCTTGGAGCTAACATTGATAAGGACACGCAGGTTGAAATGATCCTGCAGACTTTGCCTGACAGTTTTCAGCAGTTTCGCCTGAACTATAGCATGAACAAAATGGATTTGTCCCTTGCGAAATTGCTAAATGAGCTACAGCCAGCAGAGACTATTATCAAGTCACAAGATCCTTCTGTGGCGTTGAATTTTGAGGCAGGTTCTTCTTCTAAGCCGAGAGGCGGGCAGAAAAAGAAAAAGGCTCAAAAACCCTCTGTTGGTGGCGCGACTGCTGGTGTGAAAAAGGCTAAGGGCAAGTGTTATCATTGCAAGCAGCCTGGGCATCATAAGAAGCAGTGTCCAACTTATTTGGCCAAGCTGAAAAATAAACCAGGTGATTTACATCTACTTGTCGTTGAAACATTTTTAGCGGCTGTTTCTACCATGTCATGGTGTGTAGATTCGGGAGCCACTAATCATATCTGCACTTATTTGCAGGGGTTTCAGGTAACGCGGCGGCTAAGTAGAGGAGAAATCAATGTTTATCAAGCAGACGGTTCAGCAGCCCCAGCTTTAGCATTAGGAAATATTAATATTTCGTTTGGTAGTGGTAGAGTTTTAGCTTTAAAAGACACATTATATGTACCTTCCGTTAGAAGAAATTTAGTTTCGATTTATAGCGCTATGAGAGATGGTTATGATTTTAATTGTCATGACATTGATAAATGTGTTATTACTCATAATAAATATTTTCTCTCTTCGGCTACATTGATTGATGGTCTTTTTGTAGTTGACTCTATACCTAAACCGTTACACTCTAAAGAACTGAATTATATTGATTTACCAAATAAGAAAAAACGTTCTCCTGAATTGAGTGAAACATATTTATGGCACTTGCGTTTTGGTCATATAAATCTAAACAGAATTTCAAGGTTGGTCAAGGATGGACCTTTAAGTTCATTGAAAGTGGAGGCACTACCAACATGTGAATCCTGTTTAGAAGGAAAAATGACAAAAAAGAAATTTCCCCTCAAAAGGAAATCGGGCAAGTGATAAATTAGAATTAATTCATTCTGATTTGTGTGGTCCAATGAACGTCCAGGCAAGAGGTGGTTTTGAGTATTTTGTGACTTTCACTGATGATTACTCAAAATATGGATATGTCTATTTGTTGCGTCGTAAGTCTGAATGCTTTGAAAAATTCAAGGAATTTAAGGCTGAGACTGAAAAACGACTTAATAAACATATCAAAACATTACGATCTGATCGTGATGGGGAATACCTCTCTGCGGAATTCATTGGAAATCTATCAGAATGTGGGATAACATCTCAATTGTCTGCACCTGGAACACCGCAACAGAATGGTGTAGCTGAAAGGAGAAATAGGACTCTTATGGAAATGGTTAGATCAATGATGAGTTATTCCAGTTTGCCAGCGTCTTTTTGGGGACATGCCTTAGAAACAGCAAATTACATTCTGAATTTAGTTCCTTCAAAGTCAGTACCTTTGACCCCTACGGAATTGTGGACTGGGCGCAAGCCTAGTTTGCGGCATATTCGAGTTTGGGGTTGTCCGGCACATGTGCTAAAAGGGAAAACGGATAAATTGGAGGCAAGAACAGATGTATGCGTGTTTGTAGGCTATCCAAAAGGAACGAAAGGTGGTTTATTTTATTGTCCTCAAGAAAAGAAGGTAATTGTTAGCACAAATGCCAAGTTTCTTGAAGAGGACTATTTGGTAAATCATGTTCCTAAAAGTAAAATCGTTTTACAGGAACTAAGCAAAGGAATGGAAACTCAGTCATCTGATAAACAAAACGACCATATACAAAACCCCGAAGTTGGATTTGACATACCATTGCATTTTAGTAGTGGGAGAAATGTCAATAGACTTAATGTCCCGCAAGAACAAGTGCCCGAAGTCATACTACCACAAAGTAGTGGGAGTTATGTAGAGCAAACTGCACAACAGGAAGAAGTCGTTGATATCATTTTGGATAGCATGGAGACTCAGGTTCCTGATGAGATTGTGGTTCAACCATAGAATCA